AAAATTTATTAATCCAAAATTGGTACCTTAAAAATCTCCGGTCTTCAAAACTCCTAAACAGATCTTCATAATCACCCCGCCTCACCCCATCACATTTGATCAATGTCGTGACACCCCATCCAAATCGGTCTAGTTGTTAAAAGCTGCAATGCCATAGACAGACACACAGACAATACACGTCAAACTTATAACTCCCGTCTTTTTGCGTCAGGGCTTAAAACTTATCAGCAATAACCTTATCAAAATTCGTTTCTCGTAAATTGCAACTTTAAGTGTTTACAAATAAATAGGCTTAATAAATTGCTACACTCGCACATTGTATTACAATAACTGTAATTAACAATTTCCAGTTCTTGAAACTTCCACAATATCATAAACGATATCCGTAGTAATGTCGCCATATCTAATTAGAACGGATATTCTGCTGGGAATGTGGCCGTAGTCCGAAACTTTGTGACCGAAATAATGGGAATCAATTCTCATAAAGTCAGAAATAGTCGCCGTATTATATATTCATGTATCGTAGCGCAAGAATTTCATTATATTGGGATTGTAGAAGCTATTTATATTACATTATTTTAGTGAAACTTCTTTAGGCACGCTTGACTCGGGGGGTAAACTGACGAATGTGTTACGATTTTTGCGTTACGAGCGCACCGGCGACTCATCGGTAAACAATGAACAATACCTGTCACAAAATACATGAATCTAGTGCTTGGTGGGTGATAACGGACCCAGCGAGGATTGGTGGGTGATAACGGACCCAGCGCGGATTGGTGGGTGATAACGGATCCAGTGCGGATTGGTGGGTGATAACGAACCCAGTGCGGATTGGTGGATGATAACGGACCCAGTGCGGATTGGTGGGTATGTGTAATGAATATAGACAAGTATGGTCACCATGTTCATAAGCGATTGCGATTAACAGAATATATTGAAAATCACAACGATACTTTAATGAAATCATTTACAGGGCATTATGATTTAAAATCATCAAAACTAAAGAGTCTCATGTCCCCAAGTGAAGACGATGAGGCAGTAAATAAAGTATATTTAGATAAAACTATACAAGAATTAAGAAATGAAATAAACGAAATTTATAGTAATGTAAAATTTATTTAAACAGTTTAGAAAAAGCAAGATCAGTCTCTTCTTCTTTACTTTTCTCTTGATTACTTACTCTTTTACTTTTTCTTCGACTTTAACAGTCGTTCTAATTAATTTCATTTCATTTTTATGTTTAAACCTTACGTTCGTTTGTATAGAACTCTTGGTGTGCGAGTCTGACTGGCACAAAACCATCTTTTTATCAACATCTCTTAATTAACAGAGGTGAGTTCCCGCTCGAATTGGATTACACGTCTAGGAATAATCTTATAAAAGACTGTAGTCAAATAACTGTACATATATTTAAAAGTCCTTTATTATTTATAAATATATATGACCATGCAATTGTACGCTTCATATTACGAACTGAAGAAGAATGAGCTAATCGCAATGTTTCAGTATACATAATAAAAAACAAAGCCTTTTAATGGTCAGGATATTTGTGGAAACTTATGTATCTATGCAGTGCGTTAGTACCACAGACGTATGTTAGATCGCAATAGATATCGTGTAAGTGTACGTAATTGGCTTGGCCAAAACATGACAAAGATGTGAGCAAAGAAATAAAATAGCGCTATGTAAGAAGAGCGCTATTTTATTTCTTAGCATAGTTTAGCTTAGCTTATCTTAGCTCAGTATTCCCGATCCCGAACGTCATAACTGATTAATAAACAAGTCTAATTGTACCATATTAGATTAACATAGCCTTAATTAACGTTATAATTGAAACAGATGACCAGAGCCCTTTCTATGCCATCACTTAATTTTGTTCTCAAAATACCTATGACACGCTCGGCTTTCATACAATTTTGAAGCTCATGTGTCAACTACATCTACTTTAGTATAAGTTTGTGGCATACATGCTTAATAATGTTAATACAAAGCTCCCAATCATTATTATTCGGTTAAGTATTTCAGTGAAAGGCGAAGTTTTACACAAATTAGTGAGTCGGCAGCGGACTGAGTGGAATTTAATCAGAAGTAATTTTCTGTAGGTAACTAAGTTCTCAGAGTTACCTCTCACCGCTTAAATGGAAACGTTTTTGTGACTACAAGCCTTTAATGAAAAGTGCTCGAAGTTTCGAAAATGTGTTTTCTTTGGCTTTTGTTGAATTGAAATGTTATAAGTTATTTTATAGCACGCTGAAGCAATTTCTGAGTATGTGTACGTATTTAATATGAATTGTTTATTTGACAACATTAAACAGCCTGAACAAGAAGTAAGCAGAAATAATGAATCCAGTCACGTTAAAATTAAACAAAAGTACGCATAAAATGACACACAGTTAAAATGTTCATACCAGTCGGGAATATCTAATTTTAGGAAAAATCTGACACTGATTTTATATTTTAGGCCAATTGTTACGTCCATATATTAATAACAAAACAATCTACTAATATTAAAAATGTTAAAGTTTGTTTGTTTCTGTGTTTGTTACTCAATCACCTAGTTTATGATCCTGGATTGAGACATATGGAACTTTTCATCCTGAAAAATGTTAAGTTCCTGTGGGTTTAAATATTTTAGTTATTACAAATACCTAAATTTTGCTCTGCCTTTATTCTTCCATATAAATGCGAATATATTGAAAACTTTATGTGTGATGATTGATATGCATACGTTCAACTAAAAGGAATACGGAGAGCTTATCGAACTGTTTTTATTGCAAATTGCGTGACCATTTGTTTTAAATGGACCTTTCCCCCAGGGAAAGATTTGCCAAGCATAATGTGACCCGTTTAGATATCGGAACAATTCATCTTATCGTTGTATTTTATCAAAACGTACTTTAATAACAAAACGATATTAAGCAATAACATGTTTTTTTAAAGCATAATCTTTCTTAGCGCTTTTAGTCTAACGTTATTTATTAACACTTTGAATGGAATGGCCGTTTTTTATCACTGTATGTAGGTACCTAATTTTTTATGGTTTTGTTCGATGTGCATTAGAAGTAAAGTTGAAAATACGTCGAGGACAAACATCATAAAAGAGATAAAACGTCAGTAAAGTGCTCCTGCGAAAGATCCATTAATGGCGTAGTATTAATTTAATGAGGAGCTCGATGGTGCAGGTGGTTAGCACGTTCGACTGCGATCGTTGAAGTTAAGCAACTTTCGCAGTGGTCGGTCATTGGATGGGTGACCAAAAATCTTCTATCTCAATTTCCTCCGTGCTCCGGAAGCCACGTTAAGCAGTTGGTTCCGGCTGCATCTGCAGTCGTTAGCACCCGCCAATCCGCACTGGCCCAATCTCCCTATTCAATCCATAGGGAAGGCCTGTGCCCCAGCAGTGGGGACATTAATAGGCTGAAGACGATGATGATAATTAATTTTATCCATCACAAAATGATATAATTTTTTTGGTTCGAGAAAGGGTAAAAACGAAAGCATACCGCTGTCACTCTGTCGTCTGTGTGCCTGTCTGTCCGTATGTCACGGGTCTCTAGATCGTAAACGAAATAAGTTAGTGAGGTGAAATTTTGGTATTTTATGTAGAATGGTTGCCCAAAGCGGAATATTTAGTTAAAAATTCATATAAATTTATTTTTCGTGGGGGGTCTGATAGTTAAAAAGGAGACGTAATTTTTTATTTTCTTTTTCATTCCAGCATATTACACATCATTGTCTACAGCTCGATAAGCAGAATATAATATAAATATAGATATAATTTTTATTATTTTTCATTTCCAATAAGTACAAAATGGTGGAATGTAAAAGTTTAAATTTTAGACCAGTTTTGTTACGGGGTCTGCCTTAAAATCAAAACCAAGTAGTGAATTATATGAAACTGTAATTGATCTTGTTAACTCTGTATTTAAACAACAAATACTGCACTTTCATAATGTTCTTTGTAAGTTGTGACAAACAGAACAAATGATTTTACGGAATCATAATAGAGCGAGGCAGTTTATTTTTGTGTGAAAAGAGCACCAAAAATCGTAATGATGATCTGCAACGGAAGACTCATGGAAATACACACATCATAATTACCCTTGATAAAGAATCTTATGAAGCTTGCCTTGTTTTCTTTACCATGTAGTCTAAGTTGGAATCGCTTCAATCGCTTTCCCGAGTAGTAGGCGATGATGATGATGATGATGGCGGGGTGAAATAAAAAATTTTAGCTTGTCAGTTAGATTTCAAAAAAGAATGGACACATTTTTTTTTTATCAATTAACCATAAAATTTTGGCGATAAAGTGCGTTAAAGTTTGGGATTGGAGACTTATGAAGTCACTTCGAAGTAAAAATTGTACCAAGACGTCAGTTGTACAAATTGTCATGCAACATTGCAAATCAATATATCTCTGTAATGCCGCAATAACATTTGATCGTTAGCCATTACTCGAATTCGGGTACCCGAAGCAGTATTTACATTGGAATACGGGCTGGAAGACGGTATCGGGTAAACAAAAGAAAATCTATCCGAATACGGGTGTACTCGACTCAGTTCCGTTTCTTCCGTCTGGCTGGCGCAACATAATGTACCTTGCTGATCCATAATGTAGTACTTACTTGATTCTAAAACGTAATAATCGATTTTTGTCTGAATGTACTACTGTAACGCTAGCAGCGTTACAGCCTTTTTGCTTGAATTTGAAATAGAGAATTCTATAATCTTTTGTCTCGATTCGATGGATGGCAGATTAAAAACGGGCTTAGATATTAAAAGATCATTATCAACTATAATGATCTTTTAATATCTAAGCCCGTTTTGTGTGGTGTGAAAAACTGTCATAATGATATGAAATATTATAAATGTCGTTTGTTTTTTTCGTTAGAGTAGCCCCTCCCAAGATTTCCTTCTGGAATCTTATACTGCCTACCTACAATTCGCATATATAATAATATATTAAATATATAAACAAGGTTTTATTTCCTTTGTTTCAGATCTACCTAGATTCATAGGACCGGGATCCAATGTCACGGTAACTCTTGGGAGAGATGCCACGCTTACGTGTCGAGTTGAAAATCTACAAACATTCAAGGTAAGACTTTTTTTAATAAAAAATATGAGCTTCTTTTTATGATCTAGAGTGGTATTTGTACTTTTCTTTCTTAGATTATTATATTTATATATTTACGCAATTAACGGCTACATTTGAAAATCTATAGATATTAGAAAAAAATCCATGCGGTCCAGGCGTGGAATTGTTTCTAGTCATCAACGTCGACCTATTGTGGTCCTGCTGCTACTGCTGAGGCAAAAGGCCTTCCCTTTGGATAGCATAGGGAGATTGAAAATGCGAAAATTAAAAGGGGAACTGCAAATGCAGCCGGAACCAAAGTCTTGACGTGCCTTCCAAAACATGGAAGAGCTCGAGATAGTAAATTTTTGGACACCTAACCAATGACCGACCACTGCGAATGTTACTTTAACTTCAACTATCGTAACCGAACGCGCTAACCACTAGCACCACCATCGAGCTCCCAGTATCTCTAGTAATATTTTCTTTACTTTCTTTGTTGGGCCCTTAACGCATTGCACCGCTGCGGTGGACGCAGCGATTCGTGGAACATCACTGCGGTTAAAATGATAGTCACGTATACATACCGCATCTCAGTTTTTTATAAGCATCCCATCATACTCAAGCTGCCTGGCGATGCTGTGATGGAGCCGATAATAATTTCCCCCGCGGCAAGTGCATTTCACCTATAAAACGACTATAGCCAATTGCAGTTTCCCTGCTATCTCACCTGTCCCAAGTGCTTTAAATCTGTGACCAACTTTATTTTCAACTTTATAAATAAACTAGTGGCCCGCCCTCGCTTCGCTTCGGTGTAGAGCTGTAGTGTAAACTATACTTTTTGTTCTCAGGCTTGTGCTATAAAGAATGACTTTATTTATATAATTACACGTGTTATTGTGAGTCAACCATAAAAGATAGACATATGCTGTTGCGGGATATTTTTTAGACAATTTTATCCTTACACGCCTGAATAGCTCGCAGATTGCAGAATTTTTTCAGACTTAAATGACATTTATCGTTATATTTTGGACAATTCACACAATATCTTTATAAATTATAGCCTATGTGTTATTCTGATCTATAAGCTACATTACTGTAAAGTTTCATTAAAATCCGTTTAGTAGTTTTTGCGTGAAAGAGGAACAAACATCCATCCATACATCCATCCAAACAAACTTTCGCCTTTATAATATTAGTAAGGATAACTTTATATGCTTGAAAACGGTAATGCTATCGTTTAGCTCGAAGCAATATGTAAGTAAACGTAAATAATAATATAATGTTATAGTAGAGGAGCCCGAGATGATACATAGTATCGGATTATGAAGTTTACATGGTGAGGGTAGCCGTATGGCATTGTCCTAATACAACGCGATAACGCGAATGAGCGATGCGATCATCGTACGAGTCGACGATCAAACATATTGATCTAGAACAGGTGTCCTAATAGGCGATCGCGCGATGCATTCGCGTGACTAAAATGTTTAAAAATCTATTCGCGCGATCTTAGTTCGCGCGAACGCCCAATCAAACCTATTAATGATAAATAGGTGTCCTAACTGAAGTTGGCGCGATGATCGCGTCGCGTCGGTAGGAAGCGGGGAGAGGGGCAGGGCTAACCCGTTCCGTATTCGCGTTCTATTAGGACACCCAGTTCGCGATCACGCGACGGTCGCATCGTATAAACGCGCGATAACGCGAATGAGCGATGCGATCATCGTACGAATCGACGATCAAACATATTGATCTAGAATAGGTGTCCTAATAGGCGATCGAGCGATGCATTCGCGCGACTAAAATGTTTAAAAATCTATTCGCGCGATCTTAGTTCGCGCGAACGCGCAATCAAACCTATTAACGATGAATAGGTGTCCTAACTGAAGTTCGCGCGATGATCGCGTCGCGTCGATAGGAAGCGGGGAGAGGGGCAGGGCTAACCCGTTCCGTGTTCGAGTTCTATTAGGACACCCAGTTCGCGATCAAGCGATGGTCGCATCGTTTAAACGCGCGATGATCGCGTTATCGCGTTGTATTAGGACAATGCCTAAGGAGGGTAGAATATAGGATTTGTTTTTTTCCAGTGCGTCAGATATTGAGAAGCGATGTTAGCTAAAGCTCTTATTCAATAGTCGGATGATTTGGACGCGAACATAAATATTTAAAAAAGCAAAATAACGTGACGTAGAAATACTCGAGTGCGTCAGTATTCAGTGTTACATTTTGAGCATGTCTTTCGATTAGGGTTGAAACAATACGAGTAAATACAAGTAACTACTCGATACTAAATACTTTTGGCATCGACACTTTCGAACTGAGTAACAAGTAGTATCGTGAAGTAAGTACTTGTATCGGTACTCGGTCGTTCACTCACTGAGAAGAATAAAAAAAAACTCATAGGCAGAGATTATTTACTCAATGGTAAGGTGTCCAGTTGGAAGTTTTGTTTCGCGAACGCATCTTTTCAACTGCTCAGTTGGCAGCCTTGTGTATTATTTATATTTATTCCAATTTATTCAGTTAGTCATTCGTTCATCGCGTGGCGTGGGCCGATATTTTGTTTTCGTTAAATTAAAACCGTGACGGAATTTGTAATTTTAACATCGTTCGTCAAAATTTATCGATACAAGTACGTATCGATACTTTTCATTCGATAGCGAGTAGGCATCGTTACTTTATGACCGATACAGTATCGAGTAAAAGTATCGATACCTAGATAGTGAACAAATGTAACATGAGCGTGAAAAGTCAACTACGTACTTTGTACTGAGATTGCAGAATGGAACCAAACCATACCGCAACTTAGGAAACTACAGCACCATCTATCGGCATATTTAAATAAATATGATATAAGCAGAATGACTAACTTTAAATATAACTACGAACTTAAAATAGTTCATAGTACGGATTCGGTAAACTGTTCTTTGTACTATATATCGTTAATTAGATAAAACAGATGAATTCAATCAATGTTTGTTTGTAATTCTACCACTTGATGGAAAAAATATTTACATCTCCATCGTCGATGTGTATTTCTATTATACAGTGAAAGTTGTTGACGGCACTTGATAGCATCTCGTATAATTAACTAGTTCAGTCTGAAATTACTAGGGTTAAACGACTTTTACTAGTCGATCATAGGATAGGTCAATAAAATTATTTTGGTGAACTCTTTCTTGACTTCATTATGTACGTTGGACGAACGAATCTCGAAGCTTAAGAACCGACGCGACCTCAAAGATTTGAAAAATAGGTATTTGAAAAAACTATTGCTGTCACGCATTGACAAATACGGTGCGATGAAAATTGCAAAATTCGAGGTTTGGTTCTCGACGATTTCCTCTTCGAAAATGAAACATAAATATGTTAAAGAAATTTTACCCATACATAAATCAAGGAGGAATCAGTCGAGAACGTTTTTATGGAAAAAACATTGCCCGCCTCCCACCTTAAATCTTATCGTTTTAAGCATTGTGACGCATTATGGCTTTTGCAAAAAAATGTTGAATATAAAGCATTGAACTGGAGCATAATTCATAAAACTATTTCATAATGAATACTTGAAAATAAAATAAGAAATTAATAATAATAAAAAACAAGTTTGAATACACAAGAGAACGGCCATTCGAAAAGGCTTTACGCGGAACCTTCTTCACAATAATCTAGTTAGTGATTTAAATCTTTTACGAGCACACAGCGCAGACCGCAACATGTTATAGAAGCCCATGTTAAAAGCTAGCCATTAAAGTCGGTGGAGAGATTTATAAGAATATGTGCTTTAGCGAGATGGAAGGCGCCAAACACAACGCTATTGTAAGAAACAATGAAAATGAATACAAGACAACTGAGGTATTATTATAATTGAGAATGTGAGTTCTTTACTTGCAAGGGTGTATATTCTATTCTGATATATACACACATCAAAAGTGTCTAGGGATCAACATATATTTTTGCAATAACTTTTCTCCTGATTGATATTAATTAAAATTTTCTTTAAGGATTCATCAAATAAAGTGTTTTCGTTTGTCACAGTAACGATAAACCAAGTCGCCTTTGCATTAATAAAGAAATTTGCCATTTTCCTAATAAAGGGATTTTTGACATTTGAACCACTAACACAAAAGTTCGAAAAAAAGACTGAAATAACAGTTTTCTCTAAAATTTTATTGGGTAACTTAAACAATTAATAATCCGTATTTCTACCGCGAACACTAACAACACAAGAACATCGGTTTGGCATACTCAAAATGAGTTCATCCAAATCACGCTGTGGAATGGCCGCCCATGTTCGTTGCAACAACAAAAAAAGGTCTTCTTGCGACTGGATACCCTCCATATTCGGCAGAGCTCTTCTCTGTAGCATATCCCATGCATGCTCAATCGGGTTCAAGTCTGGCGACTGAGCAGGCCAGGGCAGGACATTGGTGTTAGCTGCGGCGAGAGTCTGTCTTACAACTCTTGCGGTGTGCGGTCGTGCATTATCATGCATTAACTGAAATAAGGGACCGATTTGCACTTGTAGAGGAACGATGACGTCTGATACAATCGTCTCAGCATAAATTTGAGCGTTGAGGTTGCCTCTGATCCAAATCAACTCAGTTCTTCCGCCGATCCAAATACCCGCCCATACCATGATGGTTCCACCACTATAAGGATGGACTTCCTGGCAGGATTTTAATCGCTGTTGGCGTCCAGGGGTTCTCCAGTGTCGTATACGTCTTGTATCCGGTCTCATACCAAAACGAGACTCATCAGAAAAGCACACGAAACGCCATTGTTCTTCTGCCCAATTTCTGTGTTCAAGAGCCCATTGATATCGAATCCTACGATTGTGCATTGCTATAGGTGGTACCCGTAGCGGTCTTCGGGAATGAAGGTTCACTTCATGCAAGCGGTTTCTGACTGTTTGGTCGCTAATTAAGTTCCCTGAAGAGTGATGAAGCCTCACGGCTAACATCATGGCGGTTATTGTTGGAGCTCTTCGAGTTAAGATTTGAATGTATCGGTCTTGTCTCCGTGTGGTGCAGCGATACCGTCCTCCATGGCGCTCAGCCACGGTACCAGTGCTTCGGTATCGTGTCCAAAGTCGACTGATAACACTCTGACTTGTATTCAGAGCTAAAGCCACAGTACGTTGCCGGGAACCAGCTTCTATCATTCCCACGGCTCTGAGCATTTCTTCCCTGCTTAAATGACGTCGCCGCTCCATAATAACGTTGGTTTTAATCAGTAGTAGGGAAACAGTAGCACTAATAATGTCTTCAATGCGTTGTATGTTTTTATAGGGAAAATATTGACAGCTGATTTTCATCTTTTACTCGAATTTGATTCACAGTTCCTGATTCAAATTATGAAATGCACCAAAAAGGATCCATATAAATTTATAAAATCATAAATTTATTACAAAGCCACATCTCAATCTCAAGAAATCCGCATAAAAATGCTTGATCCCTAGACACTTTTGATGTGTGTATATATAGGAGTGATGATATATATATATTTATATAATTTTATAGTAAATTTAATACGCAGGATGTATTAGATTCAGGTAACAATTATTGTTCCTTTTTTAAATTTTAACCCGATCAGTCATTTTCACGGCATTTAATTGCTATATGATTAAATCTAAAGAAAATTTTACTTGAAAAAATAAGCCACGCGGACCAGGCAGCAGACGGTTCCGTTTGCGGGTCAAAAGTTCTTTAGATTTACTATAAACTTTATTATTGTTCTTGGTAATCTGAAAAAAACTTAGTTGGTCTTTAAATGCTGTTTTTTAGTGTGATTAAGCACTTATCAGTCAAAATCCATATTTCAAAATTATGAAAACTTCACCTGAAAAAAATAAACTTCAAACAAATACAATTATTATACAAGAAATTCTAATGTAACTCGTTATTAATTCCTGGGTATGTTAAAGATCTTGTATGTAAACCAAATAAATCAAATAAATGTCCATATAAAGTAACAGACATTTGAGGAAATCTTGCAGGATGTAATAAGACGTGAAGCGATGTAATGGACCTACTAAACTTAAATGTTTTTTGTATACTGACCTAACTTACTATTGGCAAATATTTGAGTGGAAATTCGTGGTCCATCACCGGATTAATGGTCCGTAGGGGAAATGAAAGTGGGATTTCGTAGAATCTAACCTAAAGGGTAGACGAATTGATGGGATAGTGAGATTTATAAGAATAAAGAAGTCTACTCTATAAAATCGACATTAGTAGCAATCTATATATTTAAATATATATATTAATAGTAATGTTGATTTATTTTAATAGATCAACTAGCTCTTAATGATTTAAAATTCACATGTTTTTGTAACTAATATAGGTGATTTTTATAGGACAGTAGTAGTATTAAGAATCTGGAAAAGATAGCAAAATTTACATTAAAAAAGATGTCAACATAAAAAATAAAAAAATCTTGTACGTCTACAAAAGTGAACAGAGTTCATCTAACCAACTGTCAATTTATTTAGCTGTTCAAGATTCGGAACGTCCGTATTAATCCAAAACTTATACTCATCAATATTCCTTTGAACTTAAGCGTTTAGCAGCCTACTTAATTTCATTTATTTCTTAATAATTACTAAAGATTTTTCTCGAATGATAAGAGAAGGGGTGAGAGCTTTGTTTTGGTTTGTTCCCTTTCCATTCAAAAGGTTAATCATTTGCTCTAAAACAATAAATAGGCCTTGAATATTATTTTTAAGATTTATAAACTTCTCATTAATGTAAAGATGGCGATGGCGACTTGTCAAGTCGTCATACATGCTCTATCTGTGGGATTAAAATAATTTATTTCAGCTAAAATATTTTTAAATTAACATTATAAATTACGAAGCATTTAAAATTACATGACATTGTGCTAACAAAAGGCATTAGGTATAAGATTTTACAATGTGAGCATACTCATAGACCTTGGTTTTCGAACATAAATTTGTGTAGGCAATATATTGTGCTTTTACACAGACTGCGATCTGTACACTTTCTGTCTGACAAAAATATGTTTCAGCTTTATGGAATTTTAATGTTTATATAATCATTTGACACATACCTAATGCGTTTAAAACACATATAACGACTTCCACTTAAGAACTTGACACACAATTATTTGAGAAGAACTAATAAGATAAAGTACCTACGGCTGGCAGATATTCGATAGTTGGTAATAATTTGACATTAATTTGTTTGACGTTAAGCTAAAACTTTACTGCACAATCATTACCAAATCGAAATACTAAGAAAAGATAAATTTAATTCTTTGCTTGAATTGTCTAAAGCGTAATTTCTCGCAGTAAAATTCGTTACTGAGGGGAAAGGTTTTCAAATAATAATAATGTTATATCCAACACCTTTTTACTTTATGTTATATTTACAAAATTGTCTTTTTCTTGGTATTCGAATAACGTCTTCAGCTTTTCTAATGTCTGTTAACTTCTTGACATTTTCGGTTCAAACTTTCCCGATAAGTGTTTCTTGAATTCCACCGAGATTGACCTTCCTGAAAGGAAAAACATATTTTTTAACTTCTTCTAAATTGCTTTTCAAATTCAAATTGCTTTCCACCATCACTTATATTGAAAGAGTAAAAATATAAGTTCTGTTCAATGTAACTTTTTATCGACTAAAACAAATCGGAGGAAATATATTCACTTAGTAAGCACAACTTTCATCAAATTACAATTTATAGATACTTTGTCAATATCTTAGCCAAGTTTACCGTCCTTTATGGGTACAGAATGGCCCCCCGAGGAGCGTATCGCTCCAGCAATAACTCAAGTAGTTAAGATGCCATCTCCAATCCTGGCGAAGTGTCTGCTGCATCTAAGATAGGAGGGAAATTTAGAATGTTAAATTTCTTAATTTTAATTTCAACGTATTCTTAGTTTTTCTTCTTAGTAGACTAGAGTCTTAACATTCTTTGTTTTTAGAGTTTTCGTTATTTCCAACTTTAAGGTCATAGTATGATTACGTTTATCACTTTTTCCTATTACGAAAACGGTCAACTCTACGGGTATTTGAAATACATACAATACATTTTTATTTGAAAAGGCTAATCTTATGGTAAGCATTTCCCTTTTTTATCTCGGGATAATGCTACCAGTGTAATTTTAAAGTAATTTATCCTCATTTTAAGAACAGCATTTTATATTAGTCCGCCTGTAATTTCTCGTAATAATATTTGTCAAATAAGACTCCTATAAATAATGCAAATACCAGAATGCGAGTTACTTAATATGTAAAAGGTTACGTTTTTTAGAGCTGGATGTTGTAAATAGGTCAACGTAGTCTACTTCAAATGAAATAATACACAGCTTTATCTACATAAAAGTTTTAGTTACTTTATATAGATAAAAGTGTCTTACTTCGATTCATCCAGAATTATTATTATAATTAACTCACTTCTGTCAGAAATTAATTCTTTATTCCACTCAAAATTCAATGTGCTTCCCATAAAATAATACACTGCTTTATCCCCTTGGTTCCTTAGAACTACTTTGTCTCCCATATGGGGGGGTATTTATAGGATAAAATGTCTTTTCCCGTGTCTCAAACTATCTCTATACCAAATTTCAGTAATTTAGTAGAATGTAGTATGTGCCGGTTCGAAACAAAAACACAACGTGCTCGCCACAAATTACACGGCAAACTACTAAGCGCGGGTGGGTGTACGTTCGCATTTCTTTTGAATGTATGAGTGTTACTATGTAACGGTCACACAATTTCGGCGGTAAAGCCACATCTAAAACAAAGTATGGCACAGAAACAAAATCAAAACCTAGTAAAACCACGAAACACCCATGTCTCATAATGTGTTTTGATTTAGTTTCTGGGACATATTGTGTGTTGACGTGGTTTTTAGTTCTATTTTATATCTTACCAGGTTTAAATTTCTTACAATAATTCAGGCTCAAGGTGACATAGCGCTACGAGGACCAGACCATTTTGTAGAGCGTATCAGGACAGCTAATTTTTTTTCTGCGTACCTACTGTAAACGTTAGGTAATGGAAACGTAAAGTGGCCCCTACTCTTCCTTGTAGAACTCTTTTTGCAAAACGTCAATTTCAAGCCCACTCTGCCTACCTTTATAACAAGCTTCACGACAAATATTCGATACACAACCTTAAATTCTGTGAATGTAAAAAAACAATAATCCAAGAACTCGAGACGCTTGGGTACAATGACATAGAGGACTTGTTATATAAATAGGATTTCTATTCAGTAAAATTAATTCTAGTGGTACTTACCGATCCCAAGATAATATATCGTAGGGCTAGAGGAGAGATAGAATGTCCTATCATATAGGTTCTACACACACGTGCACATACACACACACACACACACACAAACACACACACACACACGCACACACACACACACACACATACATACACACACACACACACACACACACACACACACACACACATACACACACACAAACACACATACCAGTATTTAGTTAAATTTAGTTAAATTTTATCCTTTGAAAGAAAAAGTTATTTGTAATTATTTAAAGTTAAGTGGAGTAGTTATTTAGTTACCTTAATACCTCATATGTATGAGATCCTAGGGAGGAGCAGAACCGCCCAACACAAGCATCACTACATGCTTCCTGGGTAGTTCTGGCCACAGAATATTATTGTGAAATAAGGTTAACGAAATAAACTATTTTTATTTATTTTTATTATTATTATTACTGTGTTATAGTTTTGGGCAGGCGTATTTTCTCATTAGTTTTTTTTCTATTGCCTTCAAAGGCAGACGAGCGGATGGGCCACCTGATGTTAAGTGGTCACGGTCGCCCATGGACATCAGCATTGCCAGTGCCACAGCCATGCCTTTCGTGGAACACTTTATTTAAGCCTTTCTTGAATCGAGGTAAACAGTTCTCAAATTTTCAGGTGGCGTGGTTGCGCGTCGACACCCAAACGATACTCACAATCGCCGGTCACGTGATCACCAAGAACCACCGGATCAGCGTGAGCCACGGCGACGGCGCGTGGAACCTCGGCCTGAAGGACGTAGGCCCTTCAGACGGTGGCCGCTACATGTGCCAGGTCAACACCGAGCCTATGATGAGCCAGACGCACCTGCTCCAGGTTGTCGGTCAGCAGACGAGTTTCATTATTTAGAATTAGCTAGTTACCACATAAGATATGATTTATCCGGTTTATGCCTACTAGATTATATGCTATTGTACCAAGTTAACATCGAGCCTATGATGAGCCAGACGTACCTGCTTCAGGTTGTCGGTCAGCAGACGAGTTTCATTATTTAGAATTAGCCGTGCGGTGACGGAGAAAGAATACAACTCACCGCCCCTTCTCTTCCCGTGGGTGTCGTAAGAGGCGACTAAGGGATATCGGAGCTTCCATCCGCTCTGCTGGTGGTAGGGTGCCTAACACCCGCCTGGTTTGTTACCACCGTGCGCATGGTGAAAAACCCGTGAAGTGCTTCTCGCGCGTTTCGGGGTCAGCCAGCGTACAACCAGGGCTCGAGTGTAGGTTGTCGCGACGGATTCGGTCTAGGGCGAGGCATCCGTCGAACCGATGCCGGGAGGACTACATCGACCCGCCGGCCAGGGAGACCCGTAGAAACGGTTGTCCCGCTGGCCGCCCGTGGCACAGTACAGGGGCCCGAGCGTTCCTAACCAGTTCGCGAGGCTGCCCCATCATGTCACGCATAATCTCGGGGTGGACCATCGTGCCGGTTGGTGACCGGGGCGTGGGGTCCCGGCGGCCACTTCCGGGGGGGTGCGGGGGCCCTTCCGTCCGGCGGGTCGGCGTATATCCTCTGCAGGCAATTATTCGGGGAAACATGCCTCCCTAATTTGCCCGGTCTTGTCGCGACAACGTCCACTCGTTTCACGTCTTTTTATCACTTCCATAATGGCAGCTCTCAAAACAAAGTTTGGACGTACAGCGGTGCACACCCCCACGCCTTTAACGCTGTTTGAGGTCGAGTTCTGCAACATACGCGGACTCCACTCTAACCTCAATGCTGTCCACCACCATCTTGAGACAGCACGGCCAGCATTGTTGTTCCTGACGGAGACACAAATACTTCCGCCTGCTGACACAGGCTACCTTAATTATCCCGGCTACGTGCTTGAAGAGTCCTTCAAAGCGAAAGCCGGTGTATGCCTGTATGTTCGGGCGGATGTTTGTTGTCGCCGTCTTCGCTGCTTGGAAGATCCCTCCTTCTCCATGTTGGGGGTACACGTCGATTCTGGTCCCCAGGCCAGAGTCTACGTGTGCCTCTACAGATCCCACACTGGCGATGTTGAGACAACTCGACTTTTCGAACATCTTAGTCGGGCAGCAGATGACGCGCAGGAGCAATTTCCCAATGCAGAATTGGTGTTTTTGGGGGACTTTAATGCTCACCACAATTTGTGGTCAAGTTCCTCGAAAACTGACCATGCAGGGATCTCTGCTCACGCGTTCGCTCTCACGCAGGACTTGAAACAACTGGTCGATCAGCCCACCAGGATTCCAGATATTTCAAGACAAGCGCCTTCATTACTGGACCTTCTGCTCACGACCCATCCACAGGGCTATCAGGTTGTGGTAGGAGCCCCCCTGGGCTCTTCAGATCACTGCCTAATATCTGCCAAAGCGCCACAGGCCAAGCCTCTACGTCCAACGGTGGTAAAACGCCGGATTTGGCATTATGGGTCGGCAGATTGGGACGGTATGCGTGACTACTTTGCGTCCGTCCCTTGGAAGCAGCGCTGCTTCAGTGGCAAGGACCTATCAGCCAGCGCCGTTGCTATTACTGAGGAGATTGTAATGGGTATGGAATACTATATTCCTCATTCCAATCTCATCAGTAAGGGCACACGTAACCTCTGGTTCAATCACGACTGTGCTGAAGCTGCTTCGCGTAAGCAAGCGGCATATCGTGTTTGGATCAGAGGCCGCGCTATTAAGGATCCCGGGGTCGATTCACTAAAAGCAGCCTACAATATTGCTTCCAAGGCCTGTAAGAAGGCTTACATCAGAGCGGATGCCCAGCGCGTAGCACGTGTTGGTCACGAACTTATAACGCATCCTACGGGCTCCCGTAGCTATTGGCATTTGGCCAAGGCCGTGCAAAAGAACTTCTGCCAGCCCTCGCTGCCACCTCTGAGATGCCCAGACGGAACACTAGCTCATAAGCCGCAGGAGAAAGCCGATTTACTGGCAAAACTCTTTGCGGCTAACTCCCGAATCGATGATTGCAATGCACCGCCACCATCATTACCTCATTGTGGCACAACGATGCCGGATATCAAAATCAGGCAGCGTGAGGTTCGTGCCGAATTGCAATCACTCGACGTCCGGAAAGCTAGTGGACCCGATGGCATCCCAGCAGTAGTACTGAAAAAATGTGCAGCGGAGTTGTCTCCCGTGCTCACGCGTTTGTACCAGTGCTCGTATTCTTTGGGGCGTGTGCCGGAAGCTTGGAGAGATGCTAACGTGCAACCGGTACCCAAAAAAGGGGATCGCTCAGACCCGGCTAACTACCGGCCAATAGCAGTCACCTCAGTATAATGTAAAGTCCTAGAAAAGGTCCTTAACAACCATCTGACCCGCTACCTAGAGGATCACTCCCTGATCAATGATCGTCAATATGGTTTTAGACCGAAACGATCGACGGGTGATCTTCTAGCGTACTTGACTCATATCTGGGGTGAGGCTATCGACAAGCGAGGCGAGTCGTTGGCTATTAGCCTTGACATTGCCAAGGCATTCGACAGGGTCTGGCACAAAAGTCTTCTCTCCAAGCTTCCGGCATACGGTCTGCCGGCCCAGTTCTGTTCTTGGGTAGCTGACTTCCTGCATGAGCGTAGAATTCATGTCCTTACGGATGGTAGCAGTTCGCGGTTCATGTCAGTGAATGCCGGCGTTCCCCAGGGCTCAGTCCTATCCCCCACTCTCTTTCTGCTGCATATCAATGACTTAATTCCTCTTGGGAATATTCATTGCTATGCAGACGATAGTACAGTGCATGCGGGGTATCTCGGACAAGCAGCGGCTGGGCAGGCGGTAACCAAGGAGAAACGGGAGAATCTTGTCATTGAGCTCAATCAAGCTTTGGACCACATTTCTGTATGGGGTACCGAGAGCTTGGTTGAGTTCAATGCTAAGAAAACCCAGGTCTGTGCTTTCACGGCAAAAACGTCGCCATTCCTTTTATGTCCTTCTCTTCAGGGCACAACACTGGAGCTAGAGAGCAGTATCACCATGCTCGGTATGGAGATTCGCTGTGACTTAAATCCAAAGAATTACATCGAAAGTGTGATAAAACAGCCTCACGCAAACTCGGAGTCCTGAACAAGGTGCGGCGTTTTTTCACGCCCGAGCAACTGTGCTTATTGTATAAGACGCAGGTGCGGTCTTGCGTGGAATATTGCTCGCACCTCTGGGATGGCTCCGCTAAGTACTTGCTCGATGCTTTGGATAGGTTACAGCGGCGCGCAATCCGCATCATAGGCGATGAGGAGGTGACTAAACACCTCGAGCCTCTTCAATTACGCCGTGACGTGGCGTCACTAAGCGCGTTCTATCGCCTGTACCACGGCGAGTGTTCTGAGGAGTTATTCTCTCTTATTCCACCTTCCCCTTTGCTTCAGAGGACCACGCACGCTGGCTTACATTTTCACCGTCTAACTGTGGCTACAATTCCAACGCGTACAAAGAAATTTGGTGACTCATTTCTTTGTCGTACTATCCGTAAATGGAATGCTCTGCCCGCTCACGTGTTCCCTCCCTCTTACAACCTGGGATCCTTTAAAAGAGGCGTGAAGAAGCAACTTGCAGGCCGGCAGGGTGAGGATGGCTGGTGTGGCAGTTAGAACTGCTGTATCAGCTATCTTCGCGTCTGGACTTCACCTTCACTTAACATCAGGTGGGGTGGAGTCATTTGTCGGATCTATCTATAAAAAAAAAAGTTACCACATAGGATATCATTTATCCGGTTTATGCCTACTAGATTATATGCTATTGTACCAAGTTAACATCGAGCCTATGATGAGCCAGACGCACCTGCTCCAGGTTGTCGGTCAGCAGACGAGTTTCATTATTTAGCTTTAGCTAGTTACCACATAGGATATGATTAGTCCGGTTTATGCCTACTAGATTATATGCTATTGTACCAAGTTAACCACGGAGCTATGATGAGCCAGACGCACCTGCTCCAGGTTGTAGGTCAGCAGACAAGTTTCACTTCTTGCAATTAGCTAGTTCTTACATAAGAAATGCATTATCCATCTGTTATTTTACATACTTTATTAAAATAGTACTATAATGAAGTATATCATTAATGGAAGTTATGTGTTCTCTCGTATTGTGACAGTTGGCATTTTATAAGGCTTTTTTTGCATAACTTTTTAATTTTGCTGAAAAGTACTAAATCCATGACTACTATAACTAGACGATAATTATTTACTGAAAAAAAGAAATGCTTACTTACAACCCAATTCAAATAATTAAAAGTGGTCGCTATAAACAGGTCTATGAGCACACAACAGAATCATTAGGTAGGCTACAAATGGGCTTAATAAATAAGTATTAAAGTCAGATTCGAATAGACTGTTTATAATCTCCTGTCGTAAATTTTCGAACCGATGGCGTTGCTTCTCGACCTTCACAAGTGATCCAAGCCAAGACTGTAAATAATTGATTTTTCGATTTGAATTAATGCTCATGAGAATTAAAAACTACGAAACAGACAAATAAGTATTGTAGGGCAAATATGTTAAATCAACACCAAGCCTGTGATAACTCAAAAATGTCTGGTCCGAAGTTGTCAATAATTTAAAAATATTTTAAAGTTCCGAACTGTTGGTTCGAACGTTCGTAGTTAACAATACTACATTTATGTGGGCTAACAGGCCAATCAAGCGAATGAAAATGCGAGATAACTGGCGGGTCTGGTTTATGTACTTACGAAATTCAACATGAATTCATTTAATTTGGACATGGACCGATGTGAACGGATTCAAAGCATTCGAGCACAGTCGATTGGTGTACACCGAATAAAGTTAAGGAAACAAACATTTTAAAAATATTTCATTTCTATTTCAGAAATAGTAACTGAAAATATTTTAATTAAATTAATAG